AGTAAAGTAACATAAGTCGGCTTAACCTATTTTTCATTACTCCTTTCACACCCCGATATCCTTGAGTGGCTGTAATTTATGGGAGGAACCAAACAAAAATACGAAGCGGAAAGCGGGGCAAATATGAAATTCCTGCAAGGTTGCAGGGGAACAAAATAAAGAAAAGACCGGAGGAATAAAGTTTCTCAGAACTTATGAAATATATGGCAAAGTTGAGGCGTAAATAGAAACTACAATGTTGTCGGCCACGCCTCCTTTCTTTCTACTCCCTTCCCTCCCCGCTCTTCTCCCAGGCCTTTTCTTTTGTGGCTCACGTTTCAGTTGGAAATTGCGAGTAACGAGGAAAATTAAAAAGCAATATACAAACAGCAATCACGCACACAGCAGCACAAAAAGAACGCCGAAACTCAAATTAAAGAAGTCAAACTGTGCACTGAAAGAAATATTTTAGAAAGCAAACTTTAGTTTGTAATATTTACTTATTTTAAGTACATATTTGTATGTGTTTACAATACAAAAACGAAACAACATGCGTGTAAACGCAGTTAGATGTTTTTTAATTACCAAAGAATTTTACATATTTTCTTCCATGAAAATATTGTAAACTTATGATCTTACCTTTTTTCTCAGTGCACATGTGGGTGTGTCCTGAGCCTAAAAGTAGGCATCAAAAGCACACGCGTGCGGTCATTAAGTAATTCGGTTTAATGGTCAGCGAGTTGGGCACTCTATTGGATCCAACGTTCCCCCGGTTCACCTCGCTTTCCCAGCGCTTTTCCAACGCTTTTCTCATACACTCGAGACTGTTTGTGGATGGGCGAGTGGGTGGTTGCCTAATGAGCGACACAACGCGAGCAGAACACGCCGAAAGTGCGCTAATGTTTGTTTGTGGCATTAATTTTGTTTACAAGTCGTTTGTGCAAGAGGACCCGCAAGGGTCACCCACCCAACCCTCCATAACACCCTACCCCTCGCCATCACCCCTTTTTTCGTCCCCCTAAACTGTCCTTTCATTGGCGATTGTGTGGGGTACCCTCCCTTTTTATTCGCAGCCAAGCTAAACTACTCCTCCATCATTCATATTCAATTTGCGTTCTGTTTTTATTGCGCCTTAGCACAGACTACAAATATTTGAGTTGCACTCATTCCGCTCGGCTATGCAGATGGGGAAAATAAAAGGGGAGCGGTGGGTAGGAAATGGGGGGAGGGAAATGGACACTTTCTCGAGGAGCACACTTAATTGATTGCTTTTCAGCTTGAGTCAGTGCGGAGGGTTGGCTGCGTAATTGATATTTAATTAAAGCGCAGCTCAGCTGAAGTAGTTGCCAACTCATGAGTGTTCTGCAAAAAGGACGAAACGTGGTGGGGGTGGTCATCATTTCGGAGACATTGAGCGTGAGTAATGGCAGTCATCTCAGCAGCTGGGGAAAGTGAGCCAGTAAGAAGTTCAAGTTGAACCAGGAAATGGCAAAAATGGGAAATTAAATCAAGTGGCCTGTAGAACTAGCAGATTTTTCACCTTCAGTTTTTGAGGACTTGATATGAGTTCCTGCAAACAAAAATACAACCTTACTTTAAAACTATATTATAGTCTATTAATTCCCCCTTTCTAAAATTAAAACTAATTATATTTAAGACCAATCTAATCAAGCTAAGGTTACCCACATAAAAGCAGCCACGACCAGAAAGCAGAACTTCTGGGGCAAAAATGTGAAAACTATTTCAAAATAATTCCCTATTTGCCAGAAAATCCTCACTAGAGGACTTTCCTTCTCACTCGCAACAACAAAAACTATGTCAAATGTTCGAAAAGTGAAAAAGGAAAAAAGAAACCGAATTAGAAACAGAAAACACTCCAATTGCAGCAAATCAAGCCGAACAACTTTGTGTATATGCCACTTGAAACTTTCCGGCTTTCCCGCAGACAAGGTGAGGTAGGCAGTTAGCCAGGTCCTCGAGCGCTTTGTTTGCCTTTCTGCTGTTGCTGTTGCTGTTGCCACTGCTGTTTTCCTGCTGCCTTATTGCTTTTTCGCCCGGCCGTAATTATAAATCAACTAGCTGAGTGCGCCCCACCTGCTCCTGCTTACTCCCAACTAACTAATCCACTCAGGCCAAAGCCAAAGTCGGAACCAAAGCCGAAGGCAACATTAAAAGCCGCCACCCGAACTTCTGCCTCTGGCGACCCACTTGCAACAAGTTGGGTGGGGCTGGTGGGCGGGCATATTGCCATAGTTAGTTGACTCACTTTCACTCGAAGGGCGTCACAGAACTGAAACTGAAACAGAAACAGGAATACACGGGGAAACAATCTGTAGACTTTTAAAATAAACGAGATTTTAGATTAGAAAATTTTAAGGAATTTTTCCGAATTTTATATAATTTTGTTTCAGATTTTTTTAACATTTATTTTTACATATTTTATGCAGTCTTTAAAGTTATATTCGGAAAGAACATTTTTCTTCACTGTATGCGATAGTATGAGGAGTGGAAAAGCGACCCCAGTCAGGGCATTTCCCCTGTGTATGACATCAGCTATAATTTCCATTACGAGTCGAGCGCTGAAAATTGTACACCAGGGAGCTTATTAAGCACGCTGCCCCCGCCCGCCTTGTAATGTGCAAATGAAATGAAATAAAAATGTCAGAGCGCAGGGCTCGGAATGCCGGCGATAGCAGGGAAATTGTTAAAAGCGGGGTGAATATCAGAGAAAGCGAAAAGGGAGCCACTCGAGTACCGGGGAACTTAAACTACATTATCCATAATTTTGCATCTGGCTTTTCCCGTCTCACTTGTTGCCAATCTGGTCTTCAACTACCAATCCAATGCCCCATAAGTCCCATAACTCCCCTGTCCTGAGTAATGTTGGCCTTAGGACAATAACTCGAGTTTGTCATGTGCGGATCGTAAATTTGCCACTGACCCGGCCATTTGCATAAATCACGGGGTATTGCAGTGGGTAGTGGGCATGTAAACTTATAGGGCCATTAAAGTCGCATCAAAGGAAGCTTTATAAAGAGTTCTGGTACCAAACTGTCAGAAAAAAAGAGATAAAAATCAATTCTTAAGGTGAAACCCTCTAATTAAGATCTCTAAACCACTACAATTAAGTTCCAAGCCTTAAAAAATAACTTTACTTTTTTTTTGGATGTAGACTTTCGGGAACAACCTATATGATTGATAACTTATGCTGTCTTATTTCCTCCAGTGTATATATAAAGGTGGGATTCCTAAGGGACGGCACTTACGTTACTCGGCAACTAAATCAAAGCATTGCATACTTTACGGGCGTGAAATTACATAAGTTCTCCAACTTCCTTTGAGCTGCTCTACTCTTCTCCAGTTTCACGCACTTTCCCTTTGTTTTCAATTTCGTTTTAATAATCGTAAAGGGAAGAGCACGAGGAGGAAGTTGGCAACTGGGAATGGGAAAAGGGGGACTTTGTGGGGCCTTGGCAACCGATGGCTCAGATTTCAACGCTTATTTGGCTTCTGATTATTATTTCATGCTCGTGGGCCGCCTCTGAATCCTGAATTCTGACTCCCGAGTCCCGAGTCCTGAATCCCAATTCCCGAGTGCTGTTCTCACGCATCACGCGCTCAAAAGTATGCAGGCCATGATATTTGCTTTTTATCGCCTTCGCCACATTTCCCCATTTTCACATTTCGCGAGGAAACCTTGCCCCGGTTCGTGTTCCTCTTCCGTTGTTTTCCAAAAAGTTTTGCGTGTTATTATTATTTTACTTTGCCATCTTTTTCTGCCACGTTTCGGTTTTGTTTGCCGTCTCTCTCGATTCGGTTTTATTTCTTCTGCCACTGCCCTGCACCATTCATCAATAATTCACATTGATTTCTTTTTTTTCCCCACTTGCCCCGCTGCGCACTCGCCCTAATGTTAATGTTATCCCAGTTGGTTTCTCCGCCTGGCTTTGTTTTCCCTTCAATTCGCCATGTAAACAATTGACAGGACACCCCATCTAGGGAGTGCTACTATCTGTGGGTGGAGGGGCGTGGCAAAGTCATTGAAGCCGTTATGCATATTTCCTCGTGCTCGGAAAACGGCTACAGGTGCGTCCCAGGGGACTGAAAATGTATGCCAAAGTACAGTCTGCATTTGACTTCGTTGGATTCCAAGAGAAAATGCACTAATTCTTGAGCTACATTAAAGAGAATGCAAAGTGTTTGGGAAGCGGAACCCTAAATAGTTTAACTAAAAAAAGTGGATGAGTTTTATGAGTAATTTATATTAACGTTCTTAGTTATACAAATCATAAGTTGATCATGATTGCACAGATAGGTTAATTTTGTACTACCTAACTTTCAAAAGATCCTTAAATTCTGCCATTAGGAACTTATATTTTTCACTTTTTAGAATCGCAATTTATGGATGTAGTTTTTACTCCTTTTCACTTTTCTGTTGAATGCCCAAGTGGCTGTTGCCACTGGTGATGATATGGCAGGAGACAAGGCATAAAACAGAGGAAAATAGGAAAAGGCAACACATGAGTATGGGAAAACGAGAAACACAACACTCAGTCATGCGTTTCCCCGTTTTAGCTCCTTGTTATTTCACTTTTTTCTGCATACTGTGTGTGTGCGGAAATATTGGATACTGATTTGATTGGATTTGATTTAATTTTCCAATTGAAAACACTTTATCATGTTACCCGTAGACGTGTGTGAATGTACTGGAACAACATGAGCGGAAGCTGCTGCCAGGTTATTTCGAATGACAAAAATACTTACGGTTACGGGGCGGTTACTTGATATGACGTATAGCCATAGCCATATGATTTATTGTCAGGGAAAGGATTTATTATTTATTCAATGAAGACAATAATCAAATGTATTTAAAAACATTTGATTGGCTTAAGGCATCTTAACAATTTCTGATTATTAAATATATACAAGCAACTCGAGGTACTTACACATTTAAGACTCCCCCTTTTCATAGTTCCATTTAAGCCGTGATAAACTAACCTTATCCTATTCTCTCCCCGCAGCAACTGTTCCGATCGCAGAACCCTGGCCTTGCAGCAGTTGCCACAAATGCGGCGGCCGCAGCAGCAGCCGCAGCAGCTGCCACATCGGCAGCGAGCGCTGCGGCGGCGGTGGGCGCTGCCCCCGTTCCCAACGGATCGCTGCAACAGTCGCAGCAGCAGCAACAGCAGCAGCAACAGATGCAAATGGCGGCCGCGTCGCAACAGTTTCTGGCCGCCCAGCAGGCGCAGAATGCGGCCTATGCCGCCCAGCAGGCCACGCCCTACGTCATCAATCCGGGCCAGGAGGCTGCCCCCTACATGGGCATGATTGCCGCCGCCCAGATGCCGCAGTACTACGGCGTGGCGCCCTGGGGCATGTATCCGGGCAATCTGATTCCGCAGCAGGGCACCCAGCCGCGCCGCCCCCTCACCCCCTCGCAGCAGGGTGCCGAAAATCAGCCGTATCAGGTGAGACATATAGCCTATATAGCCCATATAGCCCAGTCATTTCTGTGTAAATGGAGGGCACAATGGAGCATAGAGTGTGCATAGATGCACACGTAATGTACAGACGACAGGTGTCAATTGACTGTAACAAAGGCTTTACACTTTACACACATAGCAATAACGGCACTGCTAATTAAACTAGTAAGCCTCGTCTATTCGATAAATTTAGTAGTCAAAATTCATTCGTTAGTCAACCCATTTGAATATAATATCAAAGAATTACCATTAACTATATAAATAATTAATCAATAACGAAGATATTTGGAGAAACTATCTGTTTTTTAATGATTAATACTTTAACCTTTATCAACAAAACCTTATCTAATCATTGTTGTTTCCAAACGGAGGACTTCAAGCGAAAACTGTTAACAGTATTCCCTATAAATTACATAGTCAAACCGAATAAGTGCATTATTGGCTTCGAAATATTTTTCAACTGTACATGTGTAAATTGAAATGTAAAGCTCCCTTGTAATTGTAACCGTAACTAGAAACTTGGACCTTAAACGTTGTATATTTATGCTCTGTCTCTCTTCTTTTCTCTTTTTTATACTCACATCATCAACAACACGCTTCCATAACCAACAAACAAACAAAATCTAACCCCATGTACAAAACCGAAATCCGAACCGTGTAAAATACCGTGACCGCCGTGCCGTGCAGGTCATCCCGGCCTTCCTCGATCACACAGGCTCCTTGCTGATGGGAGGACCCCGCACCGGGACGCCTATGCGTCTGGTTAGCCCCGCCCCCGTTCTGGTGCCCCCGGGCGCCACCCGTGCCGGTCCCCCGCCCCCGCAGGGCCCCCAGATGTACCAGCCGCAGCCGCAGACGGCCCAACAGAATCTCTACTCGCAGCAGAATGGCTCCAGTGTCGGAGGTAAGTGTTTGTTCACATGTCACTCTTGGGATGAAGGGGCTGAAATCACCGATTTTTGTACGTCTCTGGGTTATGCCTTAAAAAGGATTACTGTACATAAGGTTATACTTGGCATACATGGCGTATGAGCAATATTTTTAAAATCAATCTTGGTCATATGTAACATAAATAGCTTTTTTACCTTTTTTCGAGATGTGGTTTATCTAGTGTAAAGTACTCTAATCATATGTTTTCATAAGTACATACTGTACATGAGTTAATACTTGGCATACATGGCGTATAAGCAATATTTTCAAAATCAATGTAGATCAAATGTAACAAAGCTTTTTTACCTATTTCAAACTCTGGTTAATCTAGTGTAAAGTACTCTAATCATAGATATCTATAACTTCACCAATTAAAATAATCTCATCATAAACTAGAGTTTTCAGAATACTGCTAAATAGCTGTTTATTTCGCCCAGTGTTTAGCGACACAAATTGTAATTAATGTAATGTGTGGCACATCTTCATGAAATCCACTCCCTGTACAGCCTGTTTGTGTGTATAGCAATTAATCTTTGTTTATCTAACAATTCTCTTTGTACTCGAAGGATCCCAGCTCATAAACAGCAAATTTTAGAGCTCTGAATAATAATAATAGAACACCGAGCTGAGGGTGATAAGGGGAGTAGTCATTGCAACTTGTCAGCCACATCGCCAGTCAAAGCAATAATATTACTCATGCAACTTATAATTTCAAATTTTCATTTCGATTATTTTGCGTGCTATGCTGCTCTACATTTTCAACGACGAGGCATATTAGGTTAGGAGGGTACCAAAAGAATTGGGCATATGAGCTTGCATAGGTTATTATGTTACATTTGTTCCTTTAAATTAAACCCATTCTAAACGAACAAAGCGAGACTTTAAGAGCTCCCAAAGTTACAATTACAGGGCATACATGAATTTGGCATTACCTAGTCCAGAATGCATTACACCATGGAAAGCCATGAAAACCAACTGTTTGTGTCAGTAAATTTTCCTGTTTTTCATACATATCTAATGCACAGAAGAGCCATTGAGGAGAAAACTAACAACAATTGCATGCAAGCACGCAAAATGTTATTATTGCCAATGCTCCAGCAACTTCGGCTTTCAACTTCAACTATAATGCAACTGCAACGACAACAACTGCAGAAGTCCCGACGACTGACTCATGCAATTTTAAACGAAACGCGATGAGTTGGGGGAAAACTCCATGGAGGAGCAGGGAATTAAGGGAAAGGGTTACGAAAACGTTTTTCATTCTGCCAGTTTATGCATAGAAAATATTATGAACTACGCTAAGGACATTCGAAACCATGTGCTGCTAGACGAACGATGGTTAAATGCGGTTTTAGAAACAAAGGGTTGCTTGTCTCATAGTCATTAATGATTGTTATTTCAAAGTTACACAATTAGATATTAACCAAATAATCTTTATCCACTTACAGTGAGTTTTTAATTACCAAAAACTTTAACACGGCATAAACTCTTTATTTGCAAACTATTTTGCCCTGTTCTCGCAAAGTTTGTCCGTGTGTTTGTAAGTTTTGAAAGATAGCAACTTAAATGAAAATACCTATAAATGCTGCAAGGAGAATGTTGACGATGGCTTATCATATTTTTGGTTGCTGTAAAATTGTAGATTTATAGAATTTTAAATTATAATTAATAACCAGCAGACAGGCATTGAAAGTTTACACTTTGTGCACTTAAACGTCATGTAGAAAAGAAAGATTACATTTTATGGAATGCTTCATAACTTTTTCTGCCCACAAACTGAAATCTTTTAAAGTTTCTTAAACACCGTACTACATACACGAGAGTTACGGACATTGGACTCGGACAGCTCCATTAACTCCATTAACAATCAGGCGAAATCAATTATTACGCTTTCCACCTACCGGTTTTATTTCCCGACCGCATGCAAAAACGCTCTTTCCATTAACGGAACGAATTTTCCGGAATATGGGAGTCGAATCCGTCTGACGGTCGGGAGCTGGCATTATTATGTCGTTAATTCATTTTGCCTCATATGGCAGTTTAATGAAGTTTCCAGTTTTCTCTTCTTCCACACTGTTGTTCCACATGACGTATGAGTGATTACGTATTTTAATTTTTTTTTGTTTTCTCCGCGGCCATTATTACTGAAATGGGTTTTGCGATGCAAATTTTAAGCTTGTGCCGGGCTTTAAGAACTGCGATCCGCAAAAGTCCTCGAGTTAAGTAATCCATTTCGGATTCTAGTGGAAACGAAATCGAATCCATCGAATCCTATTCTCAAGACCGCAAGTCAAGTCCTGACATGCTTTGCGTGGAGAACCGTGATGATGCCAGGTGATTAGGCTAAGGGTCTCTCGAGGAGTGTGCTACATTCACAGATCCACCTGCACATGTCGTTCCACCAATTTGGATTAGTTGCACTGGGAAAAAGTCTATTCTTTTATGTATAAATCAATTTATTTGGAAATCTGTTGTAGTTTAAAAGCAGCATCAACAAAGTTGCTGATCAAAATTTATTTAAAAGTTGTGGACTGCAAAAATTGAATTTTATATGATTTTATGGTTCCATTCATCAAGAGTTAGAATTCCAGTATGCAAGCGATGACATTTTTGCCCCGTGTAACCATTTCACTTGCACATTCGCATCTCAATTACAATTAGCACATGACGCCCACAGTTTGTCCTCCGTTGGCACAAATCCCCACTAACAACTGCTGGCTGCAGGCAGCCTCATCAGCAGCCCACTCATTATGTTGTGCAATCGATGCTGTACAGTGAACACCCTCGTTACCCGCTTTCTAGCTGACTAGCTGCCTATCTGCCTATCTGCCAGGCTGTCTGAATGTCTGGCTGTCTGACTGTGTGCAATGTCAAAAAGGCTTTTTAATGGAGATTATATTGTTTTAAGTGGCTGACTGAAGGAGAACAGCAGCGGGGGCCTTCTGCGTCAGAGACAAGCTGCAATTACAAACGTTAATGCGCCTTGGCCTGGCTGCAAAAGGGGGTGGATTGGCAAGGGGGAGGGAAGGAGAACGGAAAGCTGCTTGACTTTGCAACCGCCAAACCCATTTTGGCCATTGCCTTGAAAACAATGGGGGTAGTACAGCAGCAGGAGCAGTAGCAGCTGCAGCAGAAGCAATAGCGGCAGGAACATTCTCCTTTGGCTGCCAAATTATTATGTACACCTTTCGCATGTTGGCAACATGTGATTGCATCACACAGGGATGCTGGTGGAAAAGTGAAAGCCCCCAATACCCAATCCCCAACCCACCTCCCCCATCGAATCCAAACCACTCTGCATACAATGCAGCACATTGTTCGTCCTGCCAGCCAGCTGCTTTCTCCTCCTTTCTGCGGCAGCCTTTTGTGCAAATGAATTCGTTTATTTTGTAAAATGTCAATTGCTATGCTGGCTTACAGAACAGAACATGGTGGTTGCGGGGATGAGGGGGCCAAAAGGAGCAGGAGGAGCAGCAGGAGCTGGGCGGATCACATGCAGCACACGGTTGACACTTGCTGTGGTGTCGGGAGGTGTTGGTGGTCGTGTGTGCACTTTACGCTTAATGAAAGTCTCAATGATGTGTACCACACGGCGTATGCGTGACGCAACTCAAATGAAACTCGGGGGAAAAAAAGAGAGCACAGATTGATATAATAGTGGAAATTTACAATGACTTTTTGTAATTTAAACGAGTAATTAACTCTTTCGTTATGCAAAAGATTTCAATACACCAGCATTTATATGTTAAGTTGTAATATGTTGTTTGCTAAGTGAATTTCGTGAAATTGAAATGTAATGACAGGTTAGACAGAGAACTTAATTACAACCGTAATGATGATTGATATTTGCAATAAAATTAACTTGAAGTGAAATTAAAGTTTACTTTTATCTGTCTGCAACAGTTGCAAGACTTTAATTGCCAGCTACAGCCAAAAGTTCTGGCAGTAAATGGGAAATCCCGAATGCAATGCTTAGTTTAATGACAGCCAGCGGGAAAAGCGGCAAAAGTTTGTAATTCTTGCATTTAAATTGCAACTAATTTGGCGTCTCTCGACTACGGAGAAAGTGAGGGGTGGCTGGGGGGGGGTGGAAGACTAAATTTCAAATACAGACGGCGGGAAAACACAAACAATTTGCATCCAGGAAAGTGTTTGGGGGAGTTTTCGACGACTGCGCTTGGCGTATGTTTTCTGTCTGTTTATTTTAATTTCTGGGCCTGCGTTTGGTTGGGTTTTGTGTTTTGGGTTTCGGGTAGGTGCGTGTAGTTGCACAATTTAAAAGGGAATTATTCATGCAATTTGTGCGCGGCGGAATGGCAACGTCTGTGAGGGGATACTGCGTGCGTTTGCAGGGGTGTTAGGATGGTGCCTCATTTCCCACCCCTTCCACTGCCCCACGACCGTCTGTCTCAGCTTAACTCAACTTAGAGTAAGAGCAGCCCTCCACTGGGGAGACACTTTGCCAAATGAAACTGCAGCCCTGTCGCGCACTGAGAAAAAATATAACGAATATGCATTTAAAATATGAAATTAAGTTAGCACACACATTAGCATACATATTATATTGAATTGTGCGGCTTTAAACAAATCATAAAATTTATTTTCAAAAGCAATACTTATTCATTCCATTGTCTAGAATTTAAACTCTTAGTCTGGAATTTAAAACCTTTTTCTCTCTGTACACGAGTATCTATGGCTGTCTGTGGGCGGACGAGTGTGGGCGGTGGGTGGCATTAAAAGACGCCAAGTTTATTGCAGGAGACATTCTGTGGTTTATGCACACGTTCCGCAAATAGAAAGGGAGCCCTGCGGAGGCGGAAAAGAGACGGCACTAGCCGACGAGAGACGACATTTTGCCGCTCGTCCTTAGCTTAATGTAATGATTTTATGAATTATAAATGCACACACGTGCACATTATGCACGCGTCTCACTCCCACTTCTGTTCCCGTCCTCGTCACTCCTCCCGCACAATGGGAAAAAAAAGTGAAAACGCATTAAAACTGCGAGTCATTTAAATGTCGAGGAAAAGAAAGGTCGGTGGGTGGTGTGGTGGGTGGTGGGTTGCGTGGGTGTTAAAACTATTCTCGGCTCGGGCAACTTTGTAAGCGCTGTTAAGTAGGCTATGAAAAAACGGTTTAAGGGGGCATTATATGAAATGTAATTAGTGCTGAAGCGCCGCTTCAAAGTAACGGAAACACAGCCGCACTTTAATTGCTACGGAATTCCAAGGAGTTTTAAAATCACAGCATTCTAAAGCTTAAACAGATTACATAGCAAAATTAAATATATAAGGATTACTGAATAGTTCAAACATGTCAGAGAATATTTTAAAATGGTTTGCGCTTTGTTGTAATTATCTCTCTTTTCTTGTATAAGAAATATTCCCATTGTGTCCATGTGGCATAATTAATATCCGAACATGTATAAATTATACAATTGCTGTATATTACTTATGCATTCGAAAATAGTTTTAGCTATCCCAGAAAATTAGGAAATTTTCCCTGCGTTACTTTAACTATATCGATTTCCTCTTTACACCTGCTTACACTGCTCCACTTTGGGTTTCAGCAGCAAACACCAACATTGTATATTATTTACCAACACCATTCCGAAACTTTCAGCAAATTGCTTAATAACTCGGTCAACAAATTGCGCACACTGTGTTGACATTTACAACACTCGTCTTGCATTTCCCCTCCCTTGGAAAACACTCGAGTTGGGCTGAAGGCTGGCCACCACCCGTAACCACCCACTCAGCACCTGAAGGCAGTTAGGAATTTCGCAACCCTTTCGCGCAGCTGTTGCTGCATTAGTAGTTAAATAACTTAATGTGTACGGGCCACGTTTATGGCGTATTTTCCGCCCCCTCAATACCTCAAAATAAATTTTAGCAATTAATTTGCAGTTCCCTTTTCGGCACGCCAAAGTGCAGCAGAATCTGAAAGATTGGGGTTGAGAAGGGATTTATTATGGTCGAAGGCCTGCAGCCGGAACTTTCGCTTTTCGCAGAGTCGCACATTTCCGGATCATTGCTCGCAGGGAATTCGAGATGCCTGCAAATCTCTCAACGTCTCGCTTTCCATACTCCCTACTCTTTACTCTCTCTCCACTTTCCCCGCTTAGATGGCAAATCAAATGCCAGTGACAGATTACAACATCAATCAAGTTGGCACCGTTTTCCACCCAGCCACATCCACTCATTGTTTCCGCCCACTTGTATCCTTTTACATATCCTCGGAGACTGCAGGCTGGCAGCAGCAGCCTCATGTGCGCGCACCATTAATGCTGTACATTATGGCTTAGAAAGATGGATGTGTGCGGGGGTGCTGTAGAAGGGGAAAGGATATATATCTATCCTCTGCACTGCAAATGCCAAATGGCCAAGTGACTAAAACTAAGCCAGCAGCTGCGCCTTGAAGCGGGCAATTAAGTTTTACAGGCGCATCAAAGTCGCCCCCTCGCTTCTTCCGATTAATTACAAGGCGGCGACCGTCGAGGATAATGGTACAGTTGCGTCAGAGTTTTATATGTGGACCAGCATCCAGTTAATGTCCCGCTGAAGGCTGTAAACTGAATTGAAAGTGCGGCCAGCTTTACGGGCTTTCGATTTTACGATTGATTGTCAGTGCTGGAATTGAGTGATGCACTGGGTCTTTGAAAATAACCAGAAATTGTAGCCCGTTAAGAGTAACCAAACTAAACTGAATAACTAACAAATGTATATATTAATTTAACCCTAATTAAATCTACTAATACCCATGCCTGCCAAAAAATGTATGCCACTTGCCTACAAGTTTTCTAATATTTGGTCTTTAAATAATGCTGATCCCGTCTTTCTTTTTACAGGACTCGCCTTGAACACGAACTCGTTGACGGGGCGCCGCGACTCCTTTGACCGCAGCACCTCCGCCTTCAGTCCCTCGGCGATGGACTACACCACCAGCGGCGTGGCGGCGGCCGCCAATGCGGTGAACAGCTCAGTGGCCCAGGCAGCGGTGGCTGCCGCAGCAGCGGCCGCAGCGCGTGGCAAGTGGCCGGGGGCGATGTCGGGGGCGGCCAGTGGCGCCTACGGAGCCCTCGGAGCGGGCAATGCCTCGGCCAGTCCGCTGGGCGCTCCACTCACGCCGCCGCCGTCGGCGCAGTCCTGTCTCCTGGGCAGCCGGGCACCGGGCGCCGAGTCGCGCCAGCGGCAGCAGCAGCAACAGCAGCAGCAACTTGCGGCCGTTGGCCTGCCGGCAACTGCGGCAGCTGCCCAGGCAGCGGTGGCAGCAGCGGCCAACAACATGTTCGGATCGAATAGCTCGCTCTTCTCGAATCACCTGGCCATTCCGGGTACAGCAGCGGTGGCTGCGGCGGCGGCAGCTGCAGCGGCGGCCAACTCGCGACAGGTGGCTGCCACGGCGGCGGCTGCGGCGGCGGTGGCAGCGGCAGCCGGCGGAGTGGGCGGGGCCCCACAGCCGGGAAGATCTCGCCTACTCGAGGATTTCCGCAACCAGCGGTATCCGAATCTCCAGCTTCGCGATCTCGTCAACCACATTGTGGAGTTCTCACAGGATCAGCACGGCTCGCGGTTCATCCAACAGAAGTTGGAGCGCGCCACCGCCGCTGAGAAGCAAATGGTATTCAGCGAGATCCTGGCAGCCGCCTATAGCCTGATGACCGATGTCTTTGGCAACTATGTCATCCAGAAGTTCTTCGAGTTCGGCACCCCCGAGCAGAAGAACACGCTGGGCATGCAGGTCAAGGGTCATGTGCTGCAGCTGGCGCTGCAAATGTACGGCTGCCGAGTCATTCAGAAGGCGCTGGAGAGCATCTCGCCGGATCAGCAGCAGGAGATCGTACACGAGCTGGACGGACATGTGCTGAAGTGCGTCAAGGACCAGAACGGCAACCATGTGGTGCAGAAGTGCATTGAGTGCGTGGATCCGGTGGCACTGCAGTTCATCATCAATGCGTTCAAGGGGCAGGTTTACTCGTTGAGCACCCATCCCTACGGTTGCCGTGTGATCCAGAGGATCCTCGAGCACTGCACCGCCGAGCAGACAACACCCATTTTGGACGAGCTGCACGAGCACACCGAACAGCTGATCCAGGACCAATATGGCAACTATGTCATTCAGCATGTGCTAGGTGAGTGATCCCATATATTCCCCAACTTATTACCGACTTGTGGCATCCCTTAATCTTGGATTTTATTTGATAGAGCACGGCAAGCAGGAGGATAAGTCTATTTTGATCAACAGCGTGCGCGGCAAGGTCCTGGTCCTATCCCAACACAAATTCGCCTCGAATGTGGTAGAGAAATGCGTCACCCATGCCACTCGTGGCGAACGAACTGGTCTTATAGACGAGGTCTGCACCTTCAACGACAAGTGAGTACCAGGAAATGACTTCTTCATCCATTTTAACTCATCACATTATCTTTATCCCTCTACAGTGCCTTGCACGTGATGATGAAGGATCAGTATGCCAACTATGTGGTCCAAAAGATGATCGATGTGTCGGAGCCAACGCAACTGAAGAAGCTAATGACCAAGATCCGGCCCCACATGGCCGCCTTGCGCAAGTACACCTACGGGAAGCACATCAACGCCAAGTTGGAGAAGTACTACATGAAGATAACCAACCCAATTACGGTGGGCACAGGAGCCGGAGGAGTGCCGGCATCCTCCTCAGCGGCTGCAGTCAGCAGTGGTGCCACCTCGGCATCGACCGCCTGCACCAGTGGAAGCAGCACCACGACCACCAGCACCACCAACAGCTTGGCCTCACCCACCATTTGCTCGGTGCAGGAGAACGGCAGCGCCATGATTGTGGAGCCCTCCTCCCCGGATGTCTCCGAATCCTCATCCTCGGTGGTGTCAGGGGCTGTGAACAGCGGTTTGGGTCCCATTGGACCCCCAACCACCGCCAACGGTGTGCTGTAAGGGAAACTATAGAGAAAACAAATACAACTAGGCAGTCAAAGGATGGATGGATCAAATGCCATCGGAAACATCCTTCTCGAATCGCAGTATAGTTTTTAGGAGCTGTAGAGCTAAAGCATACCATAAACAAAAATACATATAAATGTAAACTAATTTATTGAAAAGGCAGCGATAAATGGAGCTGCTCTCGAAGATTTGTAAAGAGAAAACATACACACACGCGCCAAGCTAGAGAAACAAAAAAGAAATGCGACTGGCAAGCTAAGAAGCAAAACAGCAAGAAACTGAAACTAAAAGAAATTTGTATTTTTACGAACAAAAAATAATAACACTCTCACGAAAGAAGATTTCAAAATATTTGTATAATGCGCTCGCATATTTAATTTGTAAAAAAGAAACACAAACACTCAAAGTTGAAGAAAAACATAAAGCGTAGTAAAACGCGAAAAACAAAACACAATGTAAAGTAAAATGTCAAGGAAACAATTTTGTCTGCGTACATTTTCGTTGTAACTTTGTATAAATTAATGATTATATAGCAAGTCTATTTGTAAAGAATTAATGTTTCGACTGTAAATTGATAAGAGGACAACTGAAGAGCCAGCGAGCTAAGAAATGAATGAATGTAGAAGAGCCGGCTGCATAATAGGCCTAGAATTTATAAGTGCAGACAGAGGAACCATTTAAAGTAAACAAACATATATACGAGGGATAACAGCAGAAGCCACACTTAGTGTAGATTGTAGAGTAAAACTGTTTTTGGAGCCAGCAGCTACCAAAACACAATGAAAACAGAGACACACACAAGACACGCCCACGCCCCCTCACGCACACTCGGATGCATATACCCTCACAATGAACGACTCTTCAGCCCATTCACGTTGCTTTTGCACTATGTAAAAATTTTGTATAAAAAAAACCCAAACTACAAACCATGTAAACCATGTAATTTTTTCAAATGTTTCACTGTAAAATGTATACATACTATATTTTGTAAATTTTTTAAGTCGCAAGTAACTCATACATATTCTATTATAACCTGCACGCATGTATTTATAATTTTATACATATTAGCTGGTGGCCGCTCGTCGACGATCTGCGAGGATCTCGGTGCGTCGGTCGCCAGCTAAAAACAACCTGTTAGCCAAGTAAGAAATGATTGGATTTTAAAACTATAACCATCAAATAAACCAATTTTTTTCCAAATTTACCGCCACACTTTTACGTTTGCTAGCCCACCTTAATGTATGATATATGTATAAATATGATTTAATCGACATGATGCTTTCTCAACTGCACACTGAACCAAATCAGTTGAAGAAATACCTTTGTTATGTTAGACAGAAAGCGCTTGTTGCTCCCTGCGAAGCTTGAAATGCATTCGCTGTGCGGCAAAATATTAAAATGTTAACCCTTCCTTCACGTAAGTGTATAAAATTGTTTTAAAACGTCATCGAAACACTTGTAAATTGCCAACAAAAATTGTATATGTATTAATACGAACGAATATTGTAAAAAGTAACAATACCAAGAATTTTGTACATTTTTGATATACATTTAGACTACTTCGCGACGCCTTATTCCAAATACTAAAATACTGAAAATACTGAAAACGAGAGATGGTAAGAAAAACGAATTTAGACTTTTTTGTCGGTTTCGTCGAAACACACAAAAATCCCAATGTAAAACAATTTTTGGAGATCAATGTAAAGTGTATTATGCATATTTTTATACACTCAAATTCGTTGTCGTGTCGTTGTTGTTGTCGTCGTCACCGTCGTCGTTGTCGTATTTTGTATATAACAAGCAAAGGATACCAGTCATTGAACATTTGTAATTTTCTGTACATTTCCCCCCGCAACCCACATCCCATTAACCATTGCCCCTCATCACAAGTAACCCATATAGACTATTATATCCGTATTATCCTGTCCTCTGTACAATTGAGCGCATTTCAAGCGACGCAAGCAGGGCTCGGTATTATTTGTTTGGTATTTTTAGTTATTAACTTGTCAACTGCCTGTCTCTAGAGCGCAATGCACTGATAATTTTAATTTAAATAATCCATAGATGAACATTGTATTTAGGATTCTCGAGTTCGATACGGAGTGAACAATGCAAGTAGAGATGCTTTCTGTAGACTAAACACATTGCTACACGCCGTGTACATTTGACGTGTAAAATACACAGGACACCCACACTCACACAAAAACACCCACACTCACACAAAACACCCATACACAGGACTTAGCAAGCTGCTTAGCTGTAGTAGTTAGTGTAAGCAAGCAAATCCCTATAAATATTTAAAATAATATAAATATTACTACACTTAGTTTTGAACTTGACGTGAGGCAACGTTTTTAAAAATGTATATGTAAAATACATGTGTAGAGTAGCGGAAGTGCAGTGGCACAGTGAAATTTACACGAAAGCTGGCGTATTCTACACACGCCCAGTTTTTACAGTAACAATTTTTTGCACGCATCAAAAACACTTGAGTATACAAGTTGAAAACTAACTAAAGCAAATTCCAATTAAAAAGGAGCAACATTTAACAACCACAATTGTAAACAATGTAACTTAAATTGTATGAGAAAACTCTCTGTAAACTTATAAACGTAATGCGAAGCGAAACGGGCAAGCATTTTTTTGTATGCCAAAGGACCAAAAATGGTCGGGCACTTTTATTTGCGAAAACAAAGAAAAAACCAATCCTGGCTGCAAGTTATTTGGATTCCTTCGCCAACTAAATTGTAAAAAACCAAAAAACGAAAGCCCAATACCTATAAATAACCAATATTTAAAGTAAATATAAACATACCGCAGAAATTTGTAAAATTTTTTCGACAGCAGAACCTTGTAAACTAAGCTAAGGACATAGCTAAAAACCATACTCTAAATAAACCATTTGTAATTTGTTGTAAAAAGAAAGGTAAGATCGAAGGAAGAAGGAAATTTAAAGGCATGGCATGTGCTAGAGCTGGCGTCAAGTAAAACTATAAATTATATATAAATATAAATATATATTAAAGCATATACATACATATAAATAAATATAATATACAGTAAATAATTAATTACGAGAATATTTTGTAGTTACACACACGAAACACACGGAAAAATTGAAATATGCAAACAGAGCGAAATCCTTAGTTTTGTAAACAGCGAACGATTGGCACAAGTTATATAACTAAAATTTGGACAGCATTGCATTCGAGCATTTGATTTAACTATGCATTAGACTCTTATGTTTATTATTATTATACAAAATACGATTAAAGCTAATTTCTTTGTGAAAAAAATAAAACAAGTTTATTATGTAGCAAAAAGCAAACGTTTTATTTCTCAATTCGACCCACTCGATTGGCATTTCTCCACACCAAAATGTACCAACACACAAGTGGTTTTTGTTTCAGTATCCATTTTTAAAGACAAAATTCAAGTTCAACTTCAAGTTTCAACAAATTGGCTTCAATGGAAGGCTGCGATGACTACAAATCTGAAATCAAAATTGATATTAATACGGCATGCAATTAAAGAGCATAGCATTACATTGAAAATAAATAAATATAAATAATATACACTTACCATAACCTATAGCCCTTCCAAAACCACAAAAAACGGCACCAAAAGTGAGCGCAAAGTTCGAGGCATTTTATACGGCGCATTTTTTATATATGAACAGGCTAGCTGTCTATATGATATGTATACCCAAGAGAAGATCAACTTTTATAATGAGCCAGTAAGTAAACAAGAAATATTTTTTTATCAGCCTTGGCGAGCTAATCTTTTACCAGGCCGTAAATTTTAACAAAATTATACATACTTACAAACAAAAATACCCCAACCTTATGCCCAGAAGAATCCAAAACTAAATTGAAAAGAACAGAAAAATCCATACCATACAATTTTCAACTAGTAGAATTTTTCCAAATTGTAGAAATGTAAACCTTTATATAAATATACATAGATTTGTAATTGAGCTCTAAAGTCGGGGTAGTAATATTTATATACATTATAAATCGAAGCCATTGGTCGTTCCTTGTAGCACGACAACTGGATCTGGAAGCCGTAGTAAAACTCATGTAGAAAAGCAGCAGTAAACCATAAACTAAACTAAAAGGTATAAAAATATATTTAAACTGTATATAGGGAATACCAGGCACGCAAACATTTTCAACTCAACTCTGCAGGTTTTGGTAAGTGGAGAGTCTTACTAACAAGAATACGTATTGCCCAATTTGAACTTTTTTCGAATAGTTTTTAAACTTGATATCAAATATTTGAGTAAATATTTGATCTTTAAAAAATGATGTTGATTCCTTTAGATTTTGGTCGTCCACTTCATCGACGCAGTTAAGGAGACCGCTCTTGACCAATGCTTGTACTCCATTGTATTTTGAATGCCCAAACCCCAACTAAGCCACACAATAAGCAGAAAAGAGAAAACACAAAATAACAAAATGAATTTAATTTCAATTAAGAATGATATTAAAAGAGAAAAGCATTAAAACTTATTAGCCACATATGTACGTATGAAGGATGAACATAACTAATAAAAAAAACTTGTAACTAAATACTTCTACATATTGAATAAAAAGAATGATATTAAAAGCGAAATTTTGGTTTTTTGATGTATCCTGCAGTTTGCACTGCCCAACTGGGACAAAAAATCGATTGCCAATCGATTGGAAATTTTATAACGAATTCAACGAGGTATGGCATTCCATCGGCGATCATTATTTCCCATGGTTTTGATCAAAAAACCGAAATAAAAGTTGACTTTTCCGGATCCTCCAGAATTCGCCATTTTTCATAAAAAACCGAAACTCTAAAAGACTTTTTCGGTATGTTGGCCAAAAATAAAAATTTTTGTTCGTCAAAATCTTATTTTTCCTGATTTTGAAGTACCAGGCGAACAGAAAGCTCGACAAGTGACTAAAAATCAGAGCGAATGTCCACCGATCAACTGTTCTTTTCATAATGGCCGCCAGTGTTCTCTTCATAATGGCTGCCACACGAAGGATTCCTATTGGTCGACCAACAGGAAGCCAGCTTGTAGAATACTGGAGAAGAACCGTTAGTCTCGTTCAAGCTCACAAAGGTGTAGTCAGGCAGAGCAGGGGTTTGGGGGCCAAAAGACCCCAAATCGCAATTTTAAGCCCCATTAAAAAAATTCTGACTACGCCCCTGCTAAACTAAGAAATTTAAAATCAGGTCACCAACTAACGTTTATGTTTGCCTGGTGTTTGAAATCGAAACATCTGCTGTTGCTCGTCAAATTGGACCGACAAAATCCTATTTTCTCCAAGCAAACTGGGCAATTCCTGATTTTGAAGTACCAGGCGAACAGAAAGCTCAACAAGTGACTAGAAATCTGAGCGAATGTCCACCGATTAACTGTTCTTTTCATAATGGCCGCCACCACGGACTCCAATTGGTCAACCAATAGGAATCTAGCTCTCTGGAAGGCTCCCGTTAGTTTGAAACGAAACTTAAGCTAGAGAGGGGGAAATTGATTGTTTCTTTGTTCGTGTCACGGATTTAGCACGACAGGCACCTATCACCGTTATACTTGTATGGGGCGAGCGGGAAAAGGAAATCACGCTCACATCTCTAAGCAAACGTCGTTTAACTTATCATATTCCAGCTGCTAGAGGCTTCTGTTCGCCTGGTGTATTAAATTTAGTTGAATGTGGATTTTGAAGGGCGAAATGTGGCCAAATTGTTATCGGCACTCATGGAGTCGCTGCTCAAGCAGAGAAAATTATAATAAATAATCTAATTAATTAATAGCTGAGTTTAGTCAATTTTAGACTTCCTTACCCTCTTTAACCCCTTTATCTACCACCTTAACCCCATAGGACTTTTGCTTTCAGTCTCAGGAGCATTGGAAAATGCACCAGGTTTTAGACACAACTGTTTATTTAATTTTTAAACAAAATATATATATATACGTTTGCATGTCAGTTGTAAAACTAATATTTATATATAGGCATAATTAATATTAAATTTTATTCAGTTTTTGTTTATTCAGCCAAACGTGGTTTTCTAAAAACTCATTCAAGTATATGTATGTATATGTCTTGCTAATGGTTTATCGAAGAGATATATCTTTATAGGCATGCGTAGAACTAACAGTAATTGATGGCCTGCCCCAAAGGCATGACAAGTTTAAGGTTTTTTTTTTTAATTTTTGGGGGAACGCTT